GGGGGGGATTTCCCAAATTTCTTAACCCCCCCCCCCCCCCCCCCCCCCAAAAAAGCAGGTGGGGCTAGCGCGTGGAGCTTTAAGTGGTTGCATATGATATCTTCCGCGCCTGTTTCATGACATGGGATTGTATAGTTACCTTGGCTGGTAATGTTCTCTGCCTTGTACTACTTGTGATCTCTTTCTTTTTCTTCCCTTGAACACAAACATAACTCAGTTTCGTTCTTGTTGTGCTCATTGGCTGTTTCACAAGGGCGGAAGACTCGCTCACCGAGTGTGACAATTCCCGTCGTAGACGTTCCTGCCTGCGGCCTTGACCTGGAGACCACGAGGGGCACTTACACGCCACCCCACGATTGACGTATTACATGCTTGAACTGGTGGTGTCCCGCACTCCCGCTCAAGCTGCCCCGCCTCGACTTCCTTCCGTCACTCGTCTGCCCTGATCGTCATATTTCGCTCGGTTTCTTTATTCAAACAGAACGAAGCTCTCCTTTGTTGCCTTGGCCGTTTGTTTGCCTGCCTCAATCGAACCTTAGCTGGAGCTATTAGTATACCGAACTTCCGACTTGCACACTTACTTGACCCTCCAAGGATCCCAACGAAGTTTGAATCAATCTTTCCATCATCACTCTTGCTGCCTTGTTGTTTCTACACCTTTTCAAAGATGAGCTTCGAGCGTCCCCTCCGTGGTGGCTGCCAATGCGGCCGCAATCGTTACATCATCCAGTTTCCGCAAACCACTACACAGGCGGCGCAAGTCATCTTCAACTCACCGCCCTCTCAATGTAGGAACCTGTCCAGCGATACTGACTCTCGGGAAATTCTGATCACTATCTCCATTTTGCTAGGAGTATAGATCATCTGACCAAATGTTGCCAATGCAGATATCTCCCATGCCTCACCATTGGCTGCTTTCCTGCGGGTACCTTTGCCATGGTACCATAGCACGACGCTCTCGTTTGCTCCCGACGAAAGGACGTCGATGATCCATCGCGCCTACACTTCTCCCTTTGAACAGCATTCTATGCGCCACTTTTGCGGTTTTTGCGGCACCCTCTTGTCTTACTGGTCCGAGGAACCTCGTAGCGAAGCTGATTTTATCCAGCTATCGTTGAGCAGCCTGCATCCAGAAGATCTAGCGGACCTGGAAGACTTGGGTATGTTGCCGGATTCTGAAAGCGAGAATGAACCTGAAACGAAGAAGCAAGAGGGAAAGGGAGAAGTAACGTATATCGGCCGACAGACTGTGGGAGGCCTACCCTGGCTGGACAGCTTGCTTGAGGGCAGCCGACTCGGTACTCTTCGCGCGGCCAAAGGTCGCAGCCAGAATACGAGTGGTACAGTTCAAGTTGAATGGGAAGTTATGGAATGGACCGAGGGTGAAAGCGGCTCCCCGAGCGGTTCCCCGAGAAACAGCAAGCGGAAGCTTGGTGACCGAGACGACGTAGCCCGGGTGTTATCATGAAGGACATTAGGCGATGAGCCTGCAGTGGGATTCCGTTTCCTGCCATGGTTCATCTAGACGCCCAAGCGCCTCCTCGGACTGTAGAAGGGCATTAGAACGCTTGGGTTGGCGGCAATTCTTTTCGGCGTTTCAGAATCATAAGAGGGTCGTTGAGGGACAGGCATCGTGAAGGCGTTTGGCAGGATTGGAAAGATTGGCAACAGTGGCTTGGATTCGTGTTGTTGGGTCGCATGTTTCCTACTCGGCGATGCACCAAACCCTTGGACCTCCGACAAACTTCTAATATTCAGCATCTATACAACGACCAAGTGTAGCAGTACGATAGTTCAGCCCTAGAGGATAGCTTATCGCAATCGTTTTCGAATGATTCCAGGACGTGTCTACACCTAGCAACGCAGTGTAAGGTCGTGAAATACCCAAAACCGACGGAACACACGACGAATGTGCTCGCAACATAATCGTGAAGATGCGCTGCTGAGGCGAAGCGAGACATGCGATTGGAATCCTAAGGGGCAGCCAAGAGATGGAAACAAACGAAGACAAAACGTGAAGCTTTGGAGTGAAAGTAGTACATTTGGAAGAGGGTTTCCTTACATACTAATCGAAGCGAGAAGTACGCAAGCGGCTCAGGTGGACATCAACCGGATGTCTCGCCTAGCTTCATCAACAATGGCGGCAAGCAGCAGAACATGCACATCCACATATCTGAGTTGAGCGAATTGTCGTGAACTCGTAAGCAAGCAAAGGGGGGCAGCGCAATGGAAAGGCGGGCCTTAAGTCTACCAGCCGAGCCCAGTTTTACCAGGCCCCGCGCGGCGATGTTGTGTTTTCAGTCGCTGGCGAGGCCGAGAATTACCCGACTCGGTGCTATGATCCGTAATATCAGGTGGCTTGGCCAACCTAGAAACTTTGTGCCAAAGCTGAAGATGCATCGAAAAGGCCCCCAGAAAGTGCTCGGGCTGCTTTGGACTGGCAAATTGACCGTTGTTTCATGGCTATCCCAATGTTGGAAGTGCTGATGCAACTAGCATCACGAATAAATAAAACATGCAGTCGAAGTTGAAACTTGACTGTCGAAGCGACTGAAGCGGCTCTGTTTTGCCCTGCCTTGCCTTCAAGTTGTCTTGTCCTTGCCTTGCCTTGCGCCGTTTGCCCGCCCTGCAGCCAGCCAGGGTAAGTGGAAATTGTATTTACAGCTGGAGGTGAGCTGGAACCCTGTGGCGGCTGGATTGAATCTCATTCCTGCCGTGCTCTTTCTTTAATCACTCTTTAGTAACAACGACCGGCGCTACGGCCAACTCCTGGGCCTCCGAAATAGTTTTGCCGAGGTTTTGCCCTGGATGCTGGTATGCGGCCCGACTATCCGGCAAACGACAAAAGGGTAAAAGCAAGAGAGGGCAGGATGGAGAGGACAGTTTATTAGGGAGTGGCGTTGGAGACATTGATATCGAAATTGGGGCGGAAACGAGAGCAAAACGGCACATTGTTGATGTTGTTTCCTCAGAACACAGATGGACCCTGGTCAAGTATTGTTGGGGTGGAGGATGGCAGTGTGTAAGTGTTCCCGGCCCTTTCTCATCACTTCACTTAAATCTGCGAATAGCGTCGTCGCTTTTAGAACGGCACTATCATGGCTAGTATTCTAGATTTTCGATTCCTGACAAAGATGTTGAATAACTAAAATTCAAGAACATCACATTATCATCTCAAAAGAGAGCTTCTCGCAAGTTGAATAGTTTGTCAATGACAGCTGCTTGCTGCCTGGATCTTGATTTACCTTGCTATATGGAACCCTGCCGGCATTGCAACGACCGACGTATCGCAAGTGCTTGTCTTTTCATACCTCCCAGCTGGTAGCTGGTAGCAGGTACTGGTACCTACATACGTACTGTGCATGCATCACAAGTTTGCGGTTGTTTTGGCGCATGGCTTCTTCACCTTCCACATTTCCCAGCCGTCCGTCATCCTCCGTGGTCCTAAAGTGCCCCGCGGTGGGGAGGACGTAACGCAAGGGTCCTTGTTCCGGTACCCTTGCGGTTGAAGCATCCTACCGTATGCCTTATGAGAAAAGTGACTGCTGGTGGGCAATGGTGACACCTTCTTTTCCCCATGAGCACTAAGCCAACCCAAGACAGGCTTCGGGTTTGGTTCTCTGCTGATTACCAGGACATGGGCTGCTGTGTGTTGCGCTTCTATGTGTGCGGGCGAGATTCGAAAAGCGTGGGGATGGAAGCACACAAAGAAGCGTTGGGAACCACACACACACACCCAAGCACAAACGAACAGGTAGAACTACATACTGTATGGATCACGGTGTAGGTACAAATTACACTTACTAACGATGTTGTACTGACCTTGCCTGATCTATTCGGGGTACCATTGATCTCCTCTCAGGCTATGCCTAGCTTTTCTCTCGGTGTCGACGGTCCGAAACACGGGAGAAATGGGGGGCATCAAGTATCCCTTTGGGAGGTCGTTTTCATAGGCCATGGCTATAAGATAACCATCGCGCCCTCACTTGAGGCTGCGTTCTTCTTTCGTGGGCTCCCTTTCTTTCCCAGTTCTTCTTCAGTCCCTTTCCTCGTCTATCCCAGTCTGACACTTGGCCGGTTGCATAGCGGCTAGGGTTGAGTAGCTTACAGTCAGTTTGGCGGAGTCATTCTCATATATCTCCCCTGACCCATCTCTGGAAAAACTCATATTGTCCAACGAGATAAGCATTTATCATGTCTCTTCCTAAGGATTTCCTCTGGGGCTTCGCTACTGCGGCGTAAGTACAAATTCTCAGCTGAGATTCCGGACTTATTATGAGCAACACCTTGTGTTCAGAGCTCAACAACTGATACCGATATCTCTGCATTAGCTATCAGATTGAGGGTGCTATCCACGCCGACGGCCGTGGCCCCTCTATCTGGGATACTTTCTGCAACATTCCCGGTAAGATCGCCGACGGCAGCTCTGGTGCCGTCGCCTGCGACTCTTACAACCGCACCAAGGAGGACATTGACCTCCTCAAGTCTCTCGGCGCCACCGCCTACCGCTTCTCCATCTCCTGGTCTCGCATCATCCCCGTTGGTGGCCGCAACGACCCCATCAACCAGAAGGGCATCGACCACTATGTCAAGTTTGTCGATGACCTGCTCGAGGCTGGTATTACCCCCTTCATCACCCTCTTCCACTGGGATCTTCCCGATGGTCTCGACAAGCGCTACGGCGGTCTTCTGAACCGTGAAGAGTTCCCCCTCGACTTTGAGCACTACGCCCGCACCATGTTCAAGGCCATTCCCAAGTGCAAGCACTGGATCACCTTCAACGAGCCCTGGTGCAGCTCCATCCTCGGCTACAACTCGGGCTACTTTGCCCCTGGCCACACCTCCGACCGGACCAAGTCACCCGTTGGTGACAGCGCTCGCGAGCCCTGGATCGTCGGCCATAACCTGCTCATCGCTCACGGCCGTGCCGCCAAGGCGTACCGAGAGGACTTCAAGCCCACGCAGGGCGGCGAGATCGGTATCACCTTGAACGGCGACGCCACTCTTCCCTGGGATCCAGAGGACCCCTTGGACGTCGAGGCGTGCGACCGCAAGATTGAGTTCGCCATCAGCTGGTTCGCGGACCCCATCTACTTTGGAAAGTACCCCGACTCGATGCGCAAACAGCTCGGTGACCGGCTGCCCGAGTTTACGCCCGAGGAGGTGGCGCTCGTCAAGGGTTCCAACGACTTCTACGGCATGAACCACTACACAGCCAACTACATCAAGCACAAGAAGGGCGTCCCTCCAGAGGACGACTTCCTCGGCAACCTCGAGACGCTCTTCTACGACAAAAAGGGTAACTGCATCGGGCCCGAGACCCAGTCGTTCTGGCTCCGGCCGCACGCCCAGGGCTTCCGCGACCTGCTCAACTGGCTCAGCAAGCGCTACGGATACCCCAAGATCTACGTGACCGAGAACGGGACCAGTCTCAAGGGCGAGAACGCCATGCCGCTCAAGCAGATTGTCGAGGACGACTTCCGCGTCAAGTACTTCAACGACTACGTCAACGCCATGGCCAAGGCGCATAGCGAGGACGGCGTCAACGTCAAGGGATATCTTGCCTGGAGCTTGATGGACAACTTTGAGTGGGCCGAGGGCTATGAGACGCGGTTCGGCGTTACCTATGTCGACTATGAGAACGACCAGAAGAGGTACCCCAAGAAGAGCGCCAAGAGCTTGAAGCCGCTCTTTGACTCTTTGATCAAGAAGGACTAACGGGGCAAGAGGAAAACATGGGTGGATTATCTGTTATGAAATTTGTGATGAATTGGGCAAGCGTCAGCAAGGGAATGGGAATGATTTGCAAGGGTTTAGTGTTCAGGGGTCCTCTGTTTTTCTCGACCCCCTCTTGAGTGCGCATTCGCGTATTGCGTTGTCTGGTACATAGAAGCCGTGTAATCGAGCAGCTGCATGTCGAATCGTGATGCTTGGTGTTGTACCTCAACATATTGTGTCCGTGGGCGTGCCTGGCTTGTTAGTGGGACCGCCTGTCATGTTTTCCATCCATTGTGCGTCTCGAGCGTATGGATTTCCCGTGACGCCAATGAGGATCGTCCCAAGCGGGATGACGCAAAGCATCATCCGAACTGTGCGTGTCAGGTAGATAATCAACATGCAAGAGGAATCGGAATGTCCGGCCGAGAAGATGGTTTCGGGTCAACAAAGGTGAGTTGAAGAAGTTGGCGGGATCCTGTATGAGACAAGGGGGACGATTTGGAGTTCAGGAAAGTTGGGGAAGCTGAGTGTGGGGTATCTCCCGCGGGACACGAGATCCGACATTTTCTAACCGGCTTCGGCAACTTGGCGCGGGACCCCTCCTCCTTTCTCCTCAATTCAATTCGAGGTCAATTGGGGGCGCTGCTGAGTGATTACACTAGAAGCAGAGAGCGCACGAGCCACACATTCAGTCACCTGAGACACGCCAACCCCAGAATGCGTTCCTCTTGGCAGTTTGGCCGAATCTGGGGTTGACAGGTCGGGTTCTCCTTGACCTTTTTATCACTGCCCGGCGGGGCAAGCCAGAGGACTCCAGCCAAGCATCGAAACTGTCATCGACAACCTACTCACAGGGAGAACAACGAGTTCGGGATAGGAGCACTGCCAACACACAACATCACCGCCGACACTTGTTCGGTCAGCTCCAGCTCCTCTGCTGGTGCGACATCGGTTCTTCAGAAAGGTGCATGTCTTGGTTTCCGAAAACGGTTCAGCGCGGTGATGCACTGAGTCGATCGTCAGGTGTTCCTGGCCAGGCAGCTGCTTGGGGTTTGCCTGGCTCACAACACTACCGTGCTTACATATCCATCTCCTCCGGTTCCATGATCCACGGCGAGGACAGATTGCGGAGAACCTATACCCCATCTCGACCGTGCCGACCCCGTACACTACAAACCTCATGTGAACCCCGCTGGCAGCCCCGTACACTACAAACTCGAGACAACCCCGCCGATGTCGATGCTGGAACGTCCACCAAGAGCGTGCGTCTCCAACACTCTGGTGCTGGTCACAGCCTCCGCCCCGTGGATTGGCTGGCTTGGCCCGAGGATCTTGGATACGATGGAGTTCGGACAGCTGGAAATGCCCAGATCCAGAAAGGCCCAACACCGTTATCCCCGTTTGCCGAATTCCCCTGCTCGTCATTCTCCAGATGTGAGGAGGCTCTGCCTTGTAATCCTTGCAAACTATAAATCTGTCTTGGTCCTTTGTGTGTCTTATACATATCGACACCTCCTGATTTGTTGTTGTTCTTCTTCTTCTCTGTCTGTCTTTTTAACTTCCATCATTCCCGTCCTTCTCGACTTACTCTTAGTGTGTTGAACAGCCGCTTGCTTTCTTCAATCGTCCAGTTTAGTTTCGTTTTTGTGGAGTTCACGATACCTGATATTATACCCATCATCTTCAGTCGTTCTGCCTGTCTAGTTTCCAGCCCTGAGATTACACCACACGCCCAACGTATTTGTCTCGAAGAACATTCCAGCGTCGTCGACTTGACAATTTACTACACCCCACCTCTGTTCACCACCCATCAGTCAATCACACACAACTTTAACCATGTCCGGTGCGCCATCAAGACTCAGGAGCGTCCTGAACCACCTGCTTCCCCATGGACAGCCAGCACATCACATCCACAATCTAACGCCCACCGTCTTCCTTGAGCGGGCGGCTGCCATTGAGCCTGAGGCCGAGGCCATCTTTCACATCACCGCCAACGGCAAGACACTCAGGCGTTCCTACATCGAGTTCGCCGATCGCGCTCGGGGTCTTGCCTACTACCTACGCAAGCATGGCTACAAGCGCGTTGGCCTCCTGGCTCCCAACACCCCGGCCTTCCTCGAGTCTGTTTATGGTATCGTAGCGGCTGGCGGTGTCATAGTGCCTGTCAACATCCGTCTGAAGCCTGAGGATATTACCTACATTTTCGACTTTGCAGAGGTGGATTCCATTATCGCCGATGCCGAATACGCCCACCTTCTCAACTCATACAAGAAGGAGCACCCTGATGTCCCCGTTATCATTGATGTGGTATGTAGCTTTTTGGGCACGATTGTAAGCTAGAAGAAGAAACCGCTGACACCATGTACAGGACACTGATGCCACAGAAGGTGCGCTTTGCGGCCCTTTTGATGAGGCGGTAATGGAGGGTCTCAACCACGATAAGGCCACCGGCAGCAAGGGCTGGGCCGATCTACAGAATCAGACCGTCGCCAATGAGGATGATATGATCGCCATCCCCTTCACCTCTGGCACCACCTCCAAGCCCAAGGGCTGCGTATACACCCACCGCGGTGCTTATCTTGCCACGCTCGCCAATGTCATCGAGTCTGGACTCAACGTTGCCGATGGTCGTTCCAAGTACCTCTGGACACTTCCCATGTTCCACGCTATGGGCTGGACTTTTCCTTGGGCCGTCTGCGCCGTGCGTGGGACCCATGTGTGCCTACGCAAGATTGACTATCCCTTGATCTGGAAGTTGCTGAAGGAGGAAGGCGTGACACACTTCTGCGCCGCGCCCACTGTCAACACCCTCCTTTGCGCTGCCAAGGAGGCCGAGGCTCTTCCCAAGCCCGTTCGCGTCACTGTCGCCGCCTCGCCCCCGACTCCCCATCTGTTCGAGCAGATGACAAGTCTGAACCTCTTCCCTGTGCATGTGTATGGCCTTACTGAGACCTATGGTCCAATTACGAGGGGTTATATCCTTCCTTCGTGGGATAACCTTCCTCCTCATGACAAGTACGCCAAGATGGCCCGCCAGGGACATGGCTTTATCACCAGCTTGCCAGCTCGCATCATCAAGCCCGACCAGCCCGAGGGAGTGTTGATTGACGTGGAGAAAAACGGCCAGGAGGTTGGTGAGATTATTTTCACTGGCAACATCTGCTGCAAAGGCTACTACAAGGACCCCGAAGCGACGAGAAAGCTGTTTGCAGGTGGCATGCTACACACGGGCGACTTGGCTGTTTGGCATCCCGATGGAAGTATTCATATTCAGGATCGCGCAAAGGATATTATCATCTCTGGTAAGTAACCTAGTTTTCTGACCCCTTTTCTTACCCCGTCTTCTCTTAAGAAAGAAAAGAGAGAAAAGAAATAAGAAGGAAAAAAAATTTGAACTAATCTTTGAATCAACAGGCGGCGAGAACATCTCCTCCGTAGCTCTTGAGTCCATGCTCGCTGAGCACCCCGACATTCTCGAGGCCGGCGTCGTTGCCGTTCCCGACTCCCACTGGGGCGAGCGGCCCAAGGCCTATATCACCCTGAAGGAAGGTCGCGAGACCAGCTTGACAGGCCAGGACGTCATCGACTGGGCCAAGCATAACAGCAGCATCAGCAAGTTCATGGTGCCGAGGGAGGTTGAAATTGTCAAGGAATTGCCCAAGACTAGCACGGGCAAGATCAAGAAGAACGAACTTCGGGTGTGGGCTAAGACGGGAGCCATTCCTAACTAAGCGACGAAGGGAAATTTGAATCAATCACTTGGTGCAGGCTTGTATTATGGGGAGGCAGGAGTTTTTTTTTTTATTTTTTTTTTTTTTTTTTTTTTTTTTTTTTTTTTTTTGGAGAAGAGAGGGGGGGGGGGGGGGG